ATTTGTGTATAAGTTTGTCTGTGTCTAAAATTCCGAAAGTGCCTTAGAATCGCAACAAAGTTGCAATCGAGTGTCGTGCATCTCATTAGCATATTATTATCCCTTCTGGCCTTTGTTTTCTGAAAAAAATTCCCTCTGTAACCGAAGTGAATGCTCTAATTAAAGCCGCACCAAGACTTCACGCATCTGAATTCGTCCATTGAAAAAATGAACTTTAATTAAAGCCGCGGCCTCAAAAAGAAATTTTACAGTACTTAATTAATTACTTGTCAGTGTCTGACTGGTATATACTAAATGCAAACAATGAAACATCAGCATAGTAAAAAAAGAATGCTAAAAGTCGTCTGCCCGACTAAATACAGCTATCCCGGCCAGTAATTGAATCATCAATTTTCATGAGTGATGTAACTGGTATTTCAATCTATTTGCTTAGTGGTCTTGGAATGAATGTTATCAATTTGGAGTGCATGACTTTTCGTACAAAGACGTGAACATTAATGCTAGAATCAAAGATGCAGAAAATCCATTTTGGGCGAGTGTTGCTTGGCGCTAAGCAGCCTAGCCGAATGCCTATTCTCTCAGTGTCCCTCCGAGAACTAATGCGGATCTTTGGAATGATGACCTCAGTTCGAAGGGTAGTTTCCCAGGTCGCGTTACGCAGCTGCCTGGTACAACACTTGTTGCTACAACACCGAGCTCTTCTACGGGAACTAGATTGATTGAACTATTGATCTCGGACCAAGCGAAGGAAGCCCTGCCCTGGTGGTCATCACTGGCAGCTATGACTCTGGAAAAGATGCCTCCCTCCAAGGTTGGGGAGCGCATCTATTGGACGAACAAGCCCAAGGTATATGGCCCCCGCATTAGTTTGCGACCACCATATCAACCGGCTCGAACTGAAAGCAGTGCACTTAGCACTACCACACTTTCTACTCGTAGTTCGAGACCACAGAGTCCTGCTCTGCACAGGCAACACAGCGGTGGTCTTCCTCAACAAGGAGGGGGGACGCATTGCCATAGTTGTCAGTCCTAGCAAAGCAAATTCTTCTTTGCTGCCTGGAATACAATGTAATGTGGAGCTAACCGCACACCACCTTCCATGGGTGAGGAACAGTTTGGCAGATGCCCTTTCAAGACGGCTTCGTCTCCAGAACACAGAGTGGCTGATACCCCAGTGGGTAGCCTCCAGGCTGTTTTGCATCAGGAAACAATGCTTCTACTCAACTGAACAAGATGATCTGTTTTATTGGGTACAATATTCAATTCGCGGATACTATTTTACTTCATTGCAGATTGTAAGTACCTTGAAGAATTGGCTGGTATTGATGTAGAGACAAACACACGCTTCCAGCACTTAGATACAGATGCCAAAATGTTGATATCTTTTGCCATACAGCTATTACAAGATGAGTTAAATATGAAAGAATGGCTTGAAGGAAAGGGACTACAAGAATATTTAGATAGGTAAGTTGGATTAGTCAAATTACTTGCTGTTAATATTGTCTGCTTTGTTTTGTGTCTCCTGAATAATCTGCTACCTTGTTAAATGTTAGAATCATAACTTCCTGTGTAGTTTCCCTTTCTGTATTTTTGATTTCAATCAATCTGACTTTGTATGCTGGCAATACATACATGTATGTTTTTATTCAGAGTCAAATCTGCCACTTTGCATTTGTGTACGCATTTTGCAATAACCTTATTACAAAAACAAATGAGAACCCTGTCACATATTTGTATTTGTATTTGTTACATATACATGTATATACATACTGAAATATTATACATGTGGAAAAGCATAGCTAAATCACAATTTCTTGAAATCACTCGAAAAAGAAATTTAAAATGCCAATTAAATATTTATATTATGTATTGAGAACTATATATTTATTGCCTGCATAATTACCGGTAATTATACCATGGAATTTTTAATGACTGGTATATCATTTTAGTGATTTAGAATTAGTGCACAAGGTAATGGGGGCTATGCTAATTTAATTAAGTTATTCCAATGGTGAAAAATTACAATTGACTGATTATTATTAGAATTTTGGCGGTGTCACCCTTAATGTTAAATTACATTTATATGTTGAAACTGATTTATGTTTTCATTCAAAATATAATGAAGCTATTAATGTAGAAAATATAATGAAGCAATTATTATGTACAAATTTAATGAAGCAATTAATGTACAAATTTAATGAAGCAATTAATGTATCTTTGTGTACAAATTACAATACTTCAAATTACTTCCTGGTTATACAATTGTGTTTCAGGCATTCAATCTGATAAATAGGGCCAATTTATCATAATTGTTTTATTGTCATTAACTTTTTGTTTTTTTAAAAAGTACAAAATATATTTTGGGGAGAAAAACCATTGTGTTGTAACAAATGGAATTAAAATGTTTGGTGGGTATTCCCCCCTACTTGTTAATACTGCTGTCAATGTGAGATACAACAAAATAAATGCAGCTAGAGATACATTTTGTGAAAAAAAAGCAAATAAAAATAAACACAAGCTATAGTTGTATTGGAGTTGCTTTATGAGCAATTAAGTTTCTGTTGTGAGAATTTAAAGTTTTGTTTAATGTGTAAATTCAATTTGTGTTCCAAAAAAATAATGTTTTGCTGTGTCCCAAGAAATCAAGTTTTTATTGCTAGAATTTAATGTTTAGTTTTATAAATTAAATTTTTAGTCCCCGTTCGGACGCAGTCCGAAAACGGGGACTTATGTTTTGATCTCCGTGTGCGTGTGTGCGTGCGTCTGTGCGTGTGTCCAGACCTGTATCTTAGAAATGCCTGGACCAATTACAATCAAACTTCACACATACATCATACATGATATTATACATACCGGTATGCACGTCAATTTGTTTCATGATATGATTCAAGATGGCCGAATGGCGGCCATTTATGTGCTAAAACTCACCAAAATCAAGCATTTCTCGGCTGTTTACAGATGGATTTTGTTCAAACTTGGTATATACATTAGACATTATAGGACCTTGATGCACATCATTTTGTTTTACGATCTGATTCAAGATGGTCGAATGGAAGCCATTTGTGTGCTAAAAATCCTAAAAATCAACCATTTTTTGGCTGTTTAAAGATGGATTTTGCTCAAACTTGGTATATACATTAGACATTATGGGACCTTGATGCAAATAATTTTGTTTTTTAGATAAGATTCAAAATGGCCCACTGGCGGCCATTTTGTATTAATGAATGTGGTTCTCGTGCCATATCTCCGACTTGCTTTCACTGATTATATTCAAATTTTAAATATTCATTATCTATCATGTCATAGATAGACAGATATATTGGTTTGACGATCCCATTCAAAATGGCCAAATAGTGGCCTTTTTTGTGCTAAACAATCATCAAATATCAAGCATTTCTGGCATTTATGGATGGATTTCGTTCAAACTTAGTACATATATTAGACTTTACAGGTTCTTGATGCACATTATTTATTTTTCAGATCGGATTCAAAATGGCTGTCTGGCGGCCATTTTCTTTTAATGAATGGGCTTCTAGACCCATATCTCTGACTTCAATATAATATTATTTTCAAATTTTAAATATTCATTATACATCATGTCATAGATGAACAGATATATTGGTTTGACTATCCTATTCAAAATGGCCACATTGTGGCCATTTTTGTGCTAAAAAATCATCAAATATCAAGCATTTATGGGTGGATTTCGTTCAAACTTGGTACATACATTAGACATTCTTGGTTCCTGATGCTCGTCATTTTATTTTTCAGATTGGATTCAAAATGGCTGACTGGCTGCCATTTTGTTTTAATGATTGGGCTTCTAGAGCCATATTTCTTGAATGCTTTGACTTATTATATTTAAATTTTATATATTCGTTATACATCATGTTATATATATACATGTACTCAAAATGACTGATTTTGGATGCTGTTCCAGAGCAATATCTTTCAATATGGACAAGTACTTGTTTGACGATCAGATACAAATGTCAATCATTTTAATTTGATAATTAACTGGGACTGTGTCATGCATGGCTTGTTGTTTTTAGCTCCACTGTCGACTTTGTCGAGCGGAACTTATCATATGAGTGACTGTCCGTCGTCGTCCGTGTCATG